ACCAATCCATGGTAGTTTTAGGTTAACAGGGCAGTTGTTGGGACCAAATTTTGGGTCAGTTGAGAAGCTCACAATTTTCCTTTAAGTAATTTGATTGATGACGTTTTCTGTATACCCATTTTCTAGTAAAATAGTTTTAATTGTCTTCAATTCGAAATATAGTTTAGATTTTGAACGGATAACTAGAGCCCGATGGACTAAAGTAGCAATAAGGTTCGTTTTGCAATTTTTGGGACTGAAAGAATCCCATCATGTGTACTGTCCTGTAAAGGTAGGATTTCTGTATATACTGGTGAAAAAACAAAAGTCATCTTTTTCAACTAAGATGTCTAGGAACCATAAAGAGTTATGTTATTCCTTTTCAAAAGTAAATTTGAGAGCAGAGTGCAATGAGTTTAGGTCTTGTAAAAAACACTCACATTCCTGTTCAGTTTTAAAGATGGCAAATGTGTCGTCTACATAGTGGAAGTAAACAGCAGGTCTGGTAACTTTGTTAAATAGTTCTTTTTCATGGAAACCAACAAAAATATTGGCTAAGGCAGGTCCAAGAGGAGAACCCATGGCAACTCCGTCAATCTGTTGATACATATCATTATAGCTGAATTACACAGAACGTGTTGCAGTATTCATCATTTCAATAAACAGGTCCTAAGGTATTGGAGAGCACTGAACTTCTCCACCATACAAACTATCTGCACATTTCAACAAAATTTTAAAAACAATTGAAAATGGCCATAACGAAATGTTTTGCTGCAGTGAATCCCTACTGTGCTTATTCCACACGTAGGTGCCATGTGAATGTCGGTACATAGGTTGCACTTCACAAAAGATTGCAAGATAGAATTAAACTACATGTACCCATATCCATTAGAACTAATAGTGTGAAACAAAAAATTTGCCATGTCGCTCCTGTAAAACAAAAGTTCTACCACCAAAATGTGATTAAGCAATTGGCCACCATTTACTAGTAAACCCAACTTGTGCTGACACTACACAGATAGCAGGTTTGAAATTATTGCAAATGGTTGGTCGACCTTTCATCTCTATTTTGGAAGCCACCTTTATTAAAACACATAAACCTCTTCTTTGCCACCAAAAAGAATTCCTATACAATCTACACATCCTTCAGTAGGTCTGACATTTCCTGATTGGCTAAAGGACATGCCACTCAGTGATTGCCTTACTGGCCTACGTTGATCGGACTCATTTTATAAGCTGTACAATTTCCTATATATCATTTTCGCTCTTTTTTAGAGGTTTGAGGAACCATGAAGACTTGTTTCACCAAACTCTGCACCCAAGTGGCTAACTTCCCTGTGGAAAGGCAACCCACTCAACATTTACCTATGGTTTTGCACATCATTACTGACGACATCCCGAACGATTTCTCCCTTAATTGGGTAAATATTTTCCTAAGAAAATACAAACCCAACACCGTTATCGACACGTCCAAGATGAAACTAATAAGAAGGGAAGGAATTTTTGTTCAACCCCTAACCCCCAAAAACTCGGATTATCTAAGTGCCCCATGGAACTCTAACCCACCAGTAGTTTGTAAACTGCATCGAAATAATGGTCAACTTTTTTCTGTATTCCTGAGAAACGTTGATGTGTCTATATCCCCTGAAGACATCAGATATAGCCTCCTTGCCATACCTAACTTCAAGATCCATGCAGTACACAGAATTAAATCAAGAATCACAAGCCAACTGACTCGATTCATCAAAACAGTCACAGATTCTAAACCTACAGAACAATATCTTCTAACTCACAGATTATCTTACTACTTCTTCCACTTTACAGCCAAAAGACCAAGAAGACACCTAATCACAAGAAACAGAGACGCCATAACCAGATCTTCCAAGCTCATGACACATCAAAATCGACAGGATCCTGTTCTCGCCACCACACTCGCTCCCGAGACAGAACTGCTTACCACCTCCAGTAAAACAACTGTGAAAATAAACAGTAGCACTCAAACAACCAACCTCCAGATAACTACACAGCAGACACAAACCATGTTACCTCTATTAACCAAGTGTGACACCGCTACTTCTACAAACAACCTCTTTCTTATAAACCAAGAAACACAGACCAGGATTGTCAAAAAGAACCGAAGAATCCAGACTGAAAACCACAACGATACAAACTCCAAGAGACTGACAAGATCCACTTTAAAAACTTCAGATGCACTACAACCAAAGCCCCCACATCACCTAGCACCATCCTGTTACACAAGACACCATTTTGTCAACTAATCAACCAGAGCCCAATCCAGCTAAACAATGATCCGAGTGTACACAGATTCACATCACCTCTTCAGCCAGCCAGCCTGTTCTAGTCTTCAAGCATCACCAGTAGCCACATGGAATTCAACCCAAGAAAACTAATTATATTTCTTTTTCCATATCATTTTCCAGGCACGGTCAGGGTATTTTATTCAGCACCCTGGCCATGGAAGTGGGTTTTCTCAGTGTACTCCTGTTTGTGTACTTGCTATTTATAATTAACACAGCTTACCATCATATGAACATATTTATAAACAATTCAAATATTTGCAACAATTAATAGACATCCAGCATCATAATCTAGTGGATGGTACAAAAACCATTAGTTCATAAACAAAAAGCACCTATCCCGAGAAATATACTTACAGTTTGTTGCCAATTCCTTATCTAAGCCTAGCCAAGGCATGATAAAAGTAAGCAGTTTCTAATGCTTTTGTAACAGTTAACATGTTAATAGACTAAAATTGTTTAGTGTGTACAATACTGTTACGACAGCGGAAGTCACACGATGCTGGGAGCATGCGCTCTGGAGTTTCTAGAACGATCATGACTTAGAGGAACCTCGCGAATGTCCGAGTGTTTGCCAGGCACACTCTTTTTTAGTATATAAACCTGGCAAATAAAGCCTGCGATACATAGATATGCAGATAGATTGAAGATATAGATAATTGAGTCAAGCGAACAGTAGGCACCGTTAGTAAAGTATGTGAACCACTGTGATTTATAGCGTGTGTTATAAAGGTTGTTAAGTTTAAAGTGACTGAAAATTCTGTGTATTACAAAGTTGTATCGAGAAAGAATAAACTAGTTTTAATTAAGAAAGGACTTGTATCGCTGAAGTTCCTCGGAAAGAATTTGTTACGACAGCGGAAGTCACATGACGCTAGTAACACGTCATGAGATTCTAGAATGATCATGCCTGTTCGTGGCAACTCTAGTCTTCTGTACACGCCCTCTATTTTTAGAGATGGACAGACAGACAGAGACGGACAATTGAGTCAAGCGCAATAGTAAGTAAAGCTTGTGAATCATTCGTTGTGAATTATAGCGTATGTTTAAGTTAAAATGACTATGGAAATTAAGTGCATTGCAAAGTTGAATTGAGAAAGAATAAACTAGTTTTATTTATGAAAGGACTTGTATCGCTGAAGCTTTTGTTTGGAAAGAATTTCTACGGAAAATTAACCAACGACCAATTAAGGAAGTTGTCAAACGAGAAAAAAAAAAAAAATACAAGGAGAATCTTTGTTTCAATATTTTTGTAACCATTGTCTCATTGTATATGATGCCAAAACCGTGCACATTTAGGTTTAAATTGTATAAAAAATTGTTTGATAAGCATTATTGTGTTGGACCTCCATTATAGAGAGCTATGAAGGTTGATTATACAATTTATATGGAATAGAATCAATAGTTAATGTAAGAATTTAATATTGTATTCAGCACAAAATAAACAGTGTAATAAAGTTAAAAGCATTTACAAGAGGTATATTACATCATATTCTCCATAAGAAAAAATAGTAATAGCTACTGAATAGAACTGTGGTACACGTAACTATAAAAAAATAATTTGCAAAACAAATTTAACAAAAGAAATTATGAGGCCATCTTTACGTGTTAAATCAAACTTATTATTGCTTATTTTGGAGTGCTTCAAAATTTCACTATTCATGAGTTAAATGTGAATAGAAATAATTGTAATTTAAGGTGAACATCACCTTATAAGCACATGATTAAAAGCCAGTCCAGAGACCCGTCAGATTCATTTACAACCATCCCTAATGTTCAACAGCACGCATCTGACAACTTCACTCAGGTATTTACACAAAGAACCAATTGTATTAGAAAAAAAAATTACCTGACCCTCAGCAAGTCTTGTAAAGTCAGGCATCAGGTAGAAGTAAATACCATCAAGAGCACCTGGTAGAGTTACTCCTCTTATCAGTAATACAGACAACACAAGATAGGGGAAGGTAGCCGTGAAGTAAACAACCTGGGATGAGATTATGTAAAAACATCACTATCATAAAAGTACACATCTAAACCAACAGTTCATAATTACACTGAGCAATTCTAAAAATGTATATTACAATAGATTTTTCAGTCTAGCTCCTTCACTGTGATGGGCACATAAACGTCTCCCTCTTAAACATTGCCATGCAAGTTCGGAATTTTATACCACCATGAGAAAAGCATACTTCTCTTCAAGTTTCCCAAAATTTATACCAGTTTCAATTTTCAGATAAGTAACAAAATATATAACCTGTGTTTTTTGTTTTCAATTCTGTGTCTTGGCTAAAGATAAACCTGGCACTAGAAGAATTATTTATCTACAACTGTGGTAGTGAAAGAGTTAAGCTAAAACAAATTTAGTGAGCTACATCAAATAAATCACAGTTAGTACCTATGAGAGAAAAGTAAATATATTTTCTTTCTCTATCTAATATAATGAATAAATTTCTATATAATACTTTTCTAGTTATGGAAAAGTGAAACATAGCAGTTCATTACACCTTAGGAGAGTGTGATGCAGCTGTTCATTCACATTATTTAAGGACATTAACTAAAGCCAGTGATAAACAGTCTTCTTACCACAGGTTAGAGCTAGAATTCGTTAAATTATCCCAGCATTCAATTACTTGTTATTTAACTATAACATATTAGAAAATACCAAAAGTACAATACAAAAGAACTTCAGATTGTCTGTGAAGTTTGGTTCTGTAAAGCATGTGAAAAATAATAAAAAATATATTTACATACATTTTTTTAAATTTAAATATATGTACATTTATTAATAGCCAATAAAAGTTAACCTCAAAGCTCTGTTACTGATTTATTGAATGGTATTCATTTAGTCAAAGCCAGATGTATAACATATCCTCCTTACAAAATGTACAAATATTTTATTAAAAAATTGACTTTACTAATATTTTCAATGCCTTACACATAGGATTACACTATGTTTTCAAGTAAATATAGTTTACTTGTCACACATTTCAAAAAATTTCAATAAGTCACTGAGTAGACTGATTAGGCACTTAAATTTTCAAAAATTCACTTGCACAAAAAAAAACCAGGGTGATACTAGTAAATAACTCAAAAATTAAGTTGATTAGTCAAGATACATGTGTACGTGTTCATTTGCTGGTATAAACCATGCATACACGAGAAAATGTATTGTTTGTTTGGACTTTTTCAACTAAGACACACACACACACAGAAACTCTTTTTAGCTTTTCTGGTATTATAAAATTGTGGGATTTGACTGTCACTCTTATTGTGCAGTCCTAAAACCAAAGTTTAGAGCATATTCTTCCAGCAACAGAAATATTCTTTGATTCAAAGCTCAGGCCCACTAACCACTGGGTCACACCCGGCCTGAGAATATTTAAGCTAAAACTTTTCTGGATGCAAGTTTATCCGTGAGTTGTACAAGATTGTGATTAAACCTATTTCTGTGGTTCATCCCCAATTTCCATTTGATTAACAAAATGCTCAAATTTAGAAATTAAACTTGCTATTTTGTCAACTAATGAAAAGACTTAATATTAATAAAAACGTTTTGTTGGCTTAATTACAGGACTGATATAAAGACAAATCTAGTGAAAATTCACTATAGTAAAAATTCTTATTTATCTCTTGGATTTTCATAAAAGAAAATTTATTATTATAATCATAGATGGGATTTATGTGGGGCAATTCTCCCCCACTTTGTTTTCTGTGGGATATAATATGTACACAACATTCACAATAATTCAGCCAGACCCCCTGATTATAAACTAGTAAATGACAAATAGTGGAATTAATTGACATCTTCATGGTATTTTTGTTTACATCATTTTTTATTATTCCTATTATGGACCTTTTAACAAACAGAGTAATTACCCAAATTTTGGTGCATAAACAAGTTAGAAAAGTGTATTTAAAATACTAATGGTGCCTAGATAACCCAGAATTAACTGTAGGGTTAAAGTACAAAAATGTAGCTATTAGTTCCATTTCCCGATGTTTGATTCAAATTGTTTTTTTAATTGCTCATTCAACTATTATACAAACAAAGAATACTCAGAGTTATGGTGAGACCATGAGAATACAAGTTTACACTAGTCAATACAACACAATAACCCCACCTCAAAATCACTATTATGTTTAACATCACATACAATTCTACATTTAAATGTTATTAAATGTGGATTTTAAATATATAAAAGTGAATTAGACTGATGTAATATAGGAAAGTTTACTAGCTAAAGTGACTTGAATGACACTTTACCTTTCCTGTGGACTTCACACCCTTCCAGATACAAAAGTAGCACAAGATCCACGCCAAAAGTAAACATAATGCTAAGTCCCAATTGACATCTCCCATCTCGTCTATACCACTGGAAATCCTCAAGATTTTTCTTCTGTTCAGGAAATAATCATATATTTTAATTAACTTACAAGCCATCTTGTGTTACAGTCCAATTTAATTCGCCATTGTGTGTGAATCATATGGATGCTGTGTGCTTAGAAGCCATTCATTTTAACAATAACCCTAGTCAAATTGTGTGTGTTTGGTTGTTGTTAAGTTATATTTCATATTTATTTCCCCCCCCAAGTGATACGTACATGAAGATATGTCAAAATGATAATTTTATAATATCAGCTATTAATAAGTAGCTATTAAGTAGCAAAAGAAAATATCCTTCCAAGGACTTCAAACAATTTATTAGTTCAAATCAATTAACTTTTGAAAAACATTGCAAATCTTGTTTTAATATATTAGATATCAAAGGAAATATTTGATTTTACATAAAATATGCAGTTTGTCTTAAGGAATCGTTTTATATATATATATATATATATATATTTTTTTTTTTTTTTTTTACAGTAAAAAACTACTATATGCTTGACTCCTGAAGTTCTTGTACTTGTAAACACTTTTGATTCATCTAACATGGTAACACTGAATAAGAATGATATGTATTGAGTTGAGTAATAAATCAAGTTATTTTCATTTCAATCTCTGTTTCTCTGCTCTAAACAAGTTTTACTTAAAAGCTACATCTTCCAGAACAATCTGAATTATTAGACTTTGATTAACATGATATGGTAGAATGTTTCAAAGCTCCATATGGAAAAAAATGTAGACATTGGATCCAAACTAACAACATACATTGGGTTAAAATTTAAAGTTACCAATTCATATATCTCACATTATAATGAAAATATTTAAAATAAACTATAAATGCAGTTACTTACTCCCAGAATTCAATGACTGGATCCACATTTTCAATGGATCCATTACTAGAAGTGTTTCTAACATGAAGGAACTCCTTTGAGGTCTGGTTGGTATTATTCAAATTATCACAAGGTACATGATGCACCCAGCAATGTGGAGTATTCCATTCATTCTGGCAAGAAGCCCATGGAAGGTGACTGTTTAGAGAATGAAAGAAGTAGAGGAGAGCCCAGGCCAGTATAATGATGTAATAAATGTTACATAAACAGCATATAACAGTTGTGCCAAACCCAACTCCTGATATAAACAAGAAAAAAAAAAAGACATAGAAGCAGTGTAAACAGAATATTTACAAGAGTTGGAATGGAATTCTCAAAAGAATGCTATATTATTGTTCAATTTTCACTTTTATCTGGTCACTATAAAATAATGTTAAGTGGTTATTTAAGTTTTATTTTCACCCGATTAATAAAGTATAATTTGTAACTTTAACTACTGATTTCAAAACAATAAATTATACAACTATTAATACACAAAGGTGTAAAGATAATAGTTATGTGAACTATCATATCTAAAGTAATATAATAGAATCTTCCTACTTTGAATTATGCATTTCCAATTTCAAATTTAGGTCAAAAACCAGAACATACAATACAAATACGACAAGGGTTCAAATCTTAGATTAGTAATAGTAAAATACATCTTAGAAAAAATAAACATAACTAAAGATGTATAATCCACAAAGTAATGGGGAGATTACAGCCAATATACTAGGTTTTTTTTAAACTAGAAGAGTAAATTCCAATTTTAATCAGTCTAGACATACAAAGTTTTATTATGTTACTTGTATATGAATATATGATTCATTATAAGGAATGGAGGACCAACTTCTGGAAACATGTTTTAAGTATCATCCTTTATGAACTATTATTATTAATAACCTGATTTCAACTTGTTACACCTTATAGTTTTAAAGACTGTTTATTAAGATAACATTTCAACAAGTGCAGGTAAATAGTTGATAATTGTTTTAAATAAGGAAAATAGTGAGCATACCTAAATTTTTAGATTTACAATACCATTTTACTGTTTCAACATTGAAAGATCTTTTGTTTTATATATAATTTAAGTAGTGCTTAGATTTATATCGCCTGAATAAATAAATAAACTAAATAAAAGTTCTTAAAACCCAAAGATACTGAATAAATTATACTTATGAGATAGAAGTTTGAAAGGATAAGAAAACCTCCAAATATAGTATCGCAGATAAACTACCTATTTTTAGACAAACTATACAACAAAGTCTTGCTACAATTATCTAATTTTAAAAAGAAGTTGAAAAGACTAAGTATTTTATATCTGTTTTATTACTTTAATACGTTACTTATCACATTAATAACATCTGAAATCAAAATAACAATATATATCATTAACAAGATGTATTTACAGGCATTACTTCTAAATTGAATGAATAACAACAATTAGAACTAAACAAAACATGGTTGTTGCTCAGGATAACTCTAAACACTTGTCATGAAGGCTATAGCATAACATTTAGGGACAACAAGAGACCTATTAGTCTATCTAGGCTATCCCATCCTGTAAACTAAACTAATACTATTAAATATAAAACAATAAACAAAAAGAAATAAAATCTCAAAGCCAGCTCTTATCATTCATCTAGTTACCATGTTTTCTCTTAAATTGAATTATATTTACTGCTTCCACAACATTCAAAGGCTAACCACCTTGTTAAAAAAATAAAACTGTCTTAGCTGAAGATGACTCCTGCCCTGCTAAAATTTATATTTGTGTCCCCTATTCCAACTATTCTCACTGTTAAATATGAAAAAAAGATGATGCATCAACACTATCAATTCCCTTAGCAATTTTAAACACCTCAATCAGGTCCCTTCTAATTCTTCTTTTTTAAAGTGAAAACAATTTGAGAGATCTTAACCCCTCTTCATGACAACCCCTCCATCCCAGGCACTATTCTAGTATCCTTCCTCTGAACCCTTTACAATAATTCAATGTCTTTCCTAAGGTAAGGAGCTGAAGACTGAACACAATACTCCAAATGTGGCCTAACCATTGACCTATACAATGAAATTATAACATCTTTAAACTTGTATTCAATATTTCTGTAGATACAACCTAAAATACTATTTTCTCTACCACTAGCAACAGCACACTGCTTGAATGGCTTTGGAGACTGATAGACCACTAAACCAAGATCCTTTCTTTCATAACACTGTTAAGTTTATTCCCATCCAAATTGGACTTTTATTTCAAATTATGATAACCCAGATGCATTATTTTGCATTTATTACAATTAAAACCCATCTGCCATTTATTCACCCAACTCACTAAATGATCTAAATCATTTTGTAATGCAGCAGCATCCTCCTTGCATCCAGCAGCACCCATGACCTTAATATCATCGAGTGAGAAGAAAATAAATTACAGATATAAGAAGAAGAAACCATATTTACACAAACATAAAGAATCAATGATTTATTGAACCTAATATTTCAGAGTCGTATACCAAGTTACTTACTTACGAGGTCTAGTAAACCTTAAAAAGCTCAAATATCAAGAATGACAAAAAGAAAAATGTAGTATAAAGTAGGTAAAGTACCCAAAACTTCAATTTTAACCAAATTTGCTAAATTCTGACAGTTATGCTCATTTGCCTATTGGTCTTGTCAAATACAAGAAATAGAAAATGTTTAGCAAACATTATTGGACAAAAAACAACCTCAAAACATTGTTTGGCAAAGTGATACTTTTGCCCTGAAAATGTTTAGCACAAAACACTACAAGCCAAGTGATATTTTAATATATCATGCAGTGGTGAACAACACACAAAAAGATTTATTCCTTAAAGACTGCTGATGTCGAAAAATATTTTGCAAGTGTGAAAAATGATCTAAATATTTGCAAAGGTGTGAAATGACAGTACTTTAAGGCTACAATTACCATAATAACTCTTAAAATGACAACATTTTCACTATTTCTACAAAAAAAAAAAAAAACTTTTTCTCCAGCAAATGACTTGTTTGAACAATTTAAGTAAATATACATTCTATTTGCTGAAGAAGTGGAATGTCTTGGTATAGGATTTATTTTCAACTGCCCAAGAGAATTAAAGTATTTTTCAGAAGTTATGAGAGAAGTTCAAGTTCTTTGGTCAAACATATATGAATATATTGTTAATTGCAAAATAAAGATGTATAGAAAAATTATAAATATAAATTAGGTCATCAGGAAGTTAATGTCACTTTTTCTTTTTAGATGAAATAACCATAACTTGTATATAAAAACAAATCATTTATTAAATGAAATAGTCTCCATTCTTATCGATGATCCTTTTCCATCTCACAATCAGGTTGTTAATGCCCTGATTAAAGAAATCACTTTGCTTCCAAGCTAAAAACATGTCAATGTCCTCTTTATCACCTTTCATATTTGCATACGTTTTCCCATTAAGATGGTGTTGCAGTGAACGAAAAAGATGGTGATCTGATGGTGCCATATCTGGAGATATGGTGGATGGAGGAGAACTTCCTAACCCAACTCCTTAATTTTGTTTATGTCAAACGTGCCACATGTGGACGTGCATTGTCATGGAGAAGAACACCTTTCCGATTGACGAGTGAAGGACGTTTCTGATGAAGGGCTTGATTTAAATGTTTCAGTTGCCGACTATAGATCTCTGCATTGACAGTTTCTGTGAATTGGGGAGTACGAAATGAAATACTCCTCTGATGTCCCACTAAATGCAAAGCATCACTTTCTGTGGATGGAGTCCAGGTTTTGGGGTCAGAAGTTTTTGGCTGAGCCATTGTTTTTTGGCATTTGATATTCGTATAGAGAATCCACTTTTCATCACTGGTGACAACTCTATCCAAAAATGGGTCAAGCACATTATGTACCAGAAGAGACGAAGCAACGTTCACACGCTGGAAACGATGACGATGATCATCGGAGAGTTCGTGAGACACCCAAACATCTTCTTTATGAATTTTTCCCATATTCCTTAGATGTTTACGTATTGTTCCATGAGAGACATGCAATTTCAGGGCCATTTCACTTGTGTGTTGCCTTGGGTTAGACTCAACAAAGGTCTTCAGAACATCAATATCAATTCCAACATGTCGGCCCCTACCATCACAGTTTTTATGGCTAAAGTCACCTGAACGAAATTTGTTGAACCATCATCATTGACACTTACGAACGTTCAAAACATTTCCATAAACTTTTGATATTCTTTGTGGCTACAGAGGTGTTTCCATTCTTGTATTCAAACAGCATTAATGCCAAATGTGTGTCTCGTCATGTGCCATCACTATAAAGGATTAGAGTATACTAAACTTTACACATTGTATAGGCTACACTAACATGACGTTTAGGCGGATCGTTTAACTATTATACGTGATGTATAGGGTTTTTTTTGGGGGAGGGGCAGTTTATGAAAGTGTTCCAAAATGGGACATTAATTTCTTGATGACCTAATATATATAACTTAAGTGTTAGTGATTGTTATCAGGGTGAAAATAATATTAAAACATACCATCAGATGAAGATATTTGTAGCAATTTCATCATCCTCAATGTTGTGACAAATTCCAGTTCAAAGCAAAAGTTTCATATAGCTTAGCTCGTTAAGTAAATCCCTTGTCCGACATGCAGAGGTATAATAAGTGTCAATACTGTTAGGACTCAGGTTGCAAATTAACATGCATTTACTGTCATTGTATGATAAAAATACTATATTTCTAGATGCATATTTATTCACAGATTGTGTAAAAGCCAGATTGTGGTTTGGAGGAGTGAATTTTTTTTTATTATTATTATTATTATTTCATTTTCCTGTGCACTGTTTTTCAAAGTAACAAAAAATAACACTTAGGTGTTCTGCAGTTAAAACTAGTCAAGATTTGGTAGTGATTCAGATTTTAGGCAATTGATTTTAATTTTTAAAAATATACATTTAGACAAATGATAATCAATAAACATTATATTTTAAACACAAACCTTTAAATCTAACTCTTCAATGTAGGAGACTTGTTTGTTAATATCAGTCTAATATGGGTGTTTGGGGGGGGGGGGGACACCATTTGAGCAACTATTACGATATTCCTGGATTCAGATACAGGAATACAAGTCATCTGGTCTGAACAACAATGAAAGGTTCACACGTAGTATTTGGAAAAGTAAATTTGTTTGTTTTAGAGCAAAACCACGTTGGGCTAGCTGCTGTGTCCACTTCAGGGAATCATACCCCAGATTTTA